TGGCCGCCGTGCCCATTGGACCCAGTTGGACTCCACCCCCTACTAAGCGAATACATTTCAGGCCGAAGCAGATAAAGACTAATCTAGAATCGAAAACACAACTTTAGGTTAGAAGAATGAGGAGACTGTCTTGTGAGGGACGGTCAGTATAACATTGCATTGTAACTGGAGAAGTGATAAATAGGCCGAGACGAGGAAGGGGATTGTTTCCGACTAAATACAACGTTACCTGTGTTATGTTGTGATAAAGGATGTTGTAGAACTTCTGACTAATATTATGAAATATTACGTAAAGCAATTTACAGACTAGAACCGTTGTTCTTGAAAACTAAATGGTAGCGGAGCAAAGCAGAAATGTTATTTAAGATTAGAAAGGAAAACTCCAATGACCATTTATCATGTTTGTTGCACAAGGTTTGAACAATCCTCAAACCACCATTAGTCATCTGTTGAGGCAAGCTGCTTGTCTACTGAAGTTGGTGAAGGAAGAATATAACTCACCCTCCGAGACCCCTAACCCACCGCCCCACCCAAACTTATTAAAGTTTGGGTTCTTCGGCTCAAGGCGCAACTCAAGGTGCAAAGAAAGAGATTAGTTGGCTGACGCTTCAGGCCTTCAACATTTCGCATTATGTAAACGTAATGCGCAAGCGATTTGAGCACTGGTGGTCCGAATAATATGCTCAGAGTATAAGGAGATGTGGTGCAAAGAGAGAGTAGCACTGGAATAAACAGAGCAATAAAGAGTAATTCAAAAGTTAATGGCACGGAAAATAATGGAAAAGTATATGAACAGAGTTACACATCGAGGCAGGAAAATTAAGTTAAGAGGGGAATGATGAATTTAGAAGAGTTAGAAACTGAGTATATGTAGCACCCCTCTAGGAACAAGATTAAAATCAAAGGAAAAAGTACAGATAATCAATATTACGTTGTCTATTCTTGCAGTTCCCACATCGATCGTCGCGGTACAGTGCTTGACAATATTACGTCCTACTCGTGAGGTCCTCGCTTCAAATCCCGGCTCGGATAAAAGTCTTAATTGGTTTTCTATAGTCCATTTATCAAAATTCCGGGCTGTTATCTTAAATTATATCTCGATCGCTTCTTTTTTGTCTTTCGGTTTCTTAATACCTTAACTATTCTGTCATTCAAAGCTACACAATCTTAGCAACTGAAAGCATCATTAAATAAATCAGGGATTGTAAAGAAGCCATGGATAGGCGTAACCATTTTGATGAACAAGAAAAAAAAATTGTCATAAAGTCTTCGTATTTTTGAAGTTGGTATTTAAAAATTAAGCCACTGGGCCTGTAACATACATAGCAATTGAATGAACCTGCTGGTTATACTGGAGTTAGGCAGAAAAAGATAAATTGCATTAAAAACGCGACCAAGTAAATAGAGAACGGGCACGTTGTTCACGGACCCGAATGCTTCAGTTTTCCGCAGTTATGCTACATACATCACTTGCAATATTTCAAAGTGTAATTCCTCTTAACGACACATCAATGAACATGGTGCGTGTTATCATCGTTATGGAGCTATATTCTTCAGTTTGTAAATAATTCTTGCTGCCCTTTTCGCTGAAATTTGAAATCGTTAGATGACAAATTACTATGGAATCGAAAAACATTGGGGAAAGAAAAAAATATCGGTCACTCGAATGATGTCATTCAACGTCACAGATTAAAGCGAAACTCCCTACGTAAAATCATATCTTTCGCTTTCCTAACAGTTTCCTATTGTAACGTGGATGGCCAGAACGTTGCTAGGTAACTGACCGTCAAACACCTCGCTGCGGAATACGCATAAGGCAACAATAGAAGTACGATGTTTTCCATGCGGTGCGCGCCGCAATCGCTGCTATGCAATGTAGCGGTAAAAACTCCTCTGGAACAACAGAGGCTGTTTTCTGTGTGGTCGGTGCAGAGGCTATATAAGGACAGTTAGAGACAGAACATATTTCAGTATTTGAGTGTTTAAATAACACTGAGAGAATTTTAAGTGACAGAGGAGTGGAATCGTAGGAGGCGACGAAAGGGGAAGTCTCAACTCTGAGACAGTAAAATATGATCTTGAGTCCCAAGGGACTAAGACCCGAGAAAGACTGCACTGGCAAGGGCCAGCAGCATATACAAAAGGCAGACCCGTCCTCTCGTCAGAGAGGACGCCCCACAAAAACAAGACCGTAAATGCAAAACAGTAATAAATATCTGATCATGAGCCCCAGATGGGGCTCGACACCAAGACTTGCTGACTGACTGACTGACTGACTGACCGTCAGTTGCAATGTGACTTGAACTTGGACTTAAGTGACAGCCACGGAAGTGCGTTGTGTGAAGACTTCACTTGCGATTTAAAGACATTGTATGTACACAGTGCAGTGGGATTGGCAGTGTGTGATTTAGGTAGATTGCCATTGTTTCAGTGTTGAGATCCATTACCAGGAGAGGACTAGTGGGTTTGTGTGTGTGTGTAACAGTGAATTACGAAGTATGTAAATCAGCGATAGCGCTGTAATTTAAGTGTAATTAAGAGAGGTTGTATCAAAGTGCAAATAAATCCAATCATCCGAACTAGAACCCGTCATTTTCGTAGCGCGTACCACCCTACACGTGACAATTTGGTGTCAGAAGCTGGCGGCTCGGAGCGTATTGGATTCTTCAGCAGTGACATTACGAACAAATTTAAAAGTGAATGCCTGTATTGATTAAATATATATACAAGTATCGATTTTAGTTAAATGTGAATATCTCTTCAGACACCAGCACAAAGCTCTACAACTGCAATAAAACAATGGAACACGATATAATCGATGCATCTTAATTCTCCGTACAACAATATACAACCAAAACTTGTACTCTCGTCTGGAAACTACACCCAGGAGCTTTTACACAAAAATCCTCCACCTATTTAAAATTTTATATTTTTAATAATTACTAATATATCATTATTTATTAGTCTTGCTTCTTTTATACGCACATACCCTTTTTTAGAAAATTGAACCCATAAATCTGTCTCTCCATATCTAGCACATAAAGGTACGATGATCAGTTGAAACATGTAACCTTTTAAGTAAAGTGTTTCTATACTTTTATGTATAAGGAAAACTTAACCCTAAAACAGATGGTCGTAGGTGGACAGGTTCATTCACTGTGCCACTTTACCTCGGGGAATGAGTCCCTCGTGCCCATCAGACAGGGCTGGGTCCATTCCCGAGCTGATCCAAGCGAAGTGGCAAGTTACTGTTTGATAAGGAAGAGAATTCCAGACCTGCCTCTACGCACGTCATGACGTCAAGTAAATGCATCACGTCACTACCGAGTTTATAGTGCCGTTGTGTGTACTTCTGAGACCCGAAGGATCCGTTAAGGATCCGTCTTTTAACCTCAATTCCATAGTAGCTATTTCCACTGAACGTCTTTCTCGAATGGTATACTATATGCCCTGTTGTTCAACTGGATGTCAAACAGCGTCATAAATTGTACAATTTGCATTAAAATTGAAGATATGTCGATGTAACGAACAGAAATTCCCCGGTATTTATGCAACCGGATAGGCAAAAGCTTGCCGCTGCATCCTATACTGGGTAACCTGAATACAGTCACCACCCTCTTTCCCTTCTTTCTCCTTTAAAACTTTTTCAATATTTTTGCCCCAGATTTTTCGACTCTTTTTTTCTAATTATGATCATCAAATCTGACACCCGTACCTCCCACTTTGTTCTTCATGAAGTATTCTAATAACATTTAATATTTAAGAAGTNAAAGGATCCGTTAAGGATCCGTCTTTTAACCTCAATTCCATATTCGCTATTTCCACTGAACGTCTTTCTCGAATGGTATACTATATGCTCTGTTGTTCAACTGTAAGTCAAACAGCGTCATAAATTGTAAAATTTGCATTAAAATTGAAGATATGTCAATGTAACGAAGAGAAATTCCCAGGTATTATGCAACCGGATAGGCAAAAGCTTGCCGCTGCATCCTATACTGGGTAACCTGAATACAGTCACCACCCTCTTTCCCTTCTTTCTCCTTTAAAACTTTTTCAATATTTTTGCCCCAGATTTTTCGACTCTTTTTTTCTAATTATGATCATCAAATCTGACACCCGTACCTCCCACTTTGTTCTTCATGAAGTATTCTAATAACATTTAATACGTAAGAAGTACAGATCATGAAGCTTCTCATTATACGATTCTGTTTGTCCATCTATTACTCTTTTTATTACGTCTACATATTTTCCTCAGTATTTTTTCCGCAAACACTAAAGAATTTATTGTCTTCCTTTAGCGTGACAAACTAAGTTTCTAATCCACATGAAACAACAACGCTCATAGACCTTCTAATTTCATTCCTTAAGCCTTAAAATAGACAGGATTGCATCCTTCCATATTCCTTCCTGTTCATGTTTTCCAGTTTTCCTCTTATACGTCATCCACCTTTGGAACGAGGGTGCGTCATGACCAGTTAGTTACGCAGATATTTACATCACTGAAAACTTACTAGATTCTGCCTTCAACATACGTACTTCCGGCATTCATATGTACACAACAACAACAGGATTTTTCTTCCGGAAGTTTGCCTATATAAGGCATGACGTATCCTGGTTCGTAGAGTAGATGGACTTCACTTGAGGCTATGCAAATATACAGTCGAAAAGACCTTATATACATTAACGTATGTATAAGACTGACAGAACTTGAGTGATTAACAAAAAGTGTTCTCTTAATTCGGTTAGTATTCTATCAGTTGGTGTCAGAATTANGAGACCTTAGCTACATTAACATATGTATAAGACTGACAGAACTTGAGTGATTAAAAAAAATGTTCTCTTAATTCGGTTAGTATTCTATCAGTTGGTGTCAGAATTACAAGCGTAGCTTTACCGTAGTGTTGGAGGAAACAGTGTTCCATTCCTGCATGCAGGATTTCAATTTCAGCAAGCAACAAAGAATACGAGTATACTGCCGTCTCTCGGAGCGAATGACTCACCGACCAGCTGGAGCTCGACAAACAGGCTGGACGGGGGATGCGTTGAAACCTGGCACTCGTACAGTCCACCGTCTCCTGCTCGGGCGTAACGGACATGCAGTGCCCAGTCCTGGGACCCATGGACACACGCCAGTACAGGAACAGCAGCAGCAGCAGCAGGGGAGAAAATAATCATGCTTCAAGTTGTGCGGAGGATTAGTTCAGCGTTCCATAAACCCGCTTTAATTAGAGAAGTTCTGCATGCATGCAGTTCGTTTCTGATGCCAGTGGCGCCTCCCCCTCATATCCTATTTGACTCCACGTGCCCGACAATGAATGCACAACACATCTAGACAGATTTATAATTTTGAAACACGATACCAGGTACCTAAAGCTTTGTTTTCAGGAGCAGAACCTCATCTGAGTGTATTAGAGATGCCTGAGCTGTAATGGAGTCTAATATATTACATATCGTAAACAGAAAAGATATTTTCAAAATGACATGGTACAGTGACTACACGGAAGTAACATATAATGTCTGGCGGAATTTTAGTTTTTCATCTATTTTCATGTATTTTTGTTTCCCTTGGCACTACAGCCCGAATTGGCCTAGGCCTACCTCCACGAACTTCTCTGTTCACATCGGTTTTTCTAGATCTTACACATTCGGGAGGACTCCTTGGGCGGGTGATCAGCTCGTCGCAAGGCCTCTACCTGTACACAAACACAGAGAAACGCACACACACACACACACAAACTAAACATTATGCTCTGAGTGGGATTCGAACCCACGACCCCGGTTTCCTAGCGAGCGAAGACAGTACATGCCTTAGACCGCTCGGCTACCGTGACCGACGGAAGGTTATTTTAGTAGTACATGAATAAATTTATTAATTTTAGTTCTAGTCAAGTACTAGACCAGAGATGAAACACCAAGCATGACCGAAGATTTGATATCATTATGTCTGACCGGAACTATCTCTCGCCTCACATATGATGATGGATATTGGTGGAATGGTAAGCCGAAATATTTTCCCTTATGCTAATCATTTTGGTTGTGGCCTTCTGAGTTATGGCACCATGTATTCTGATAGGTGACTGCAAAATTTTCTGAAGAATATATTATATTGACCAACCGGATAATTCAGTCATCAAGATGGAGGCACCAGGTTCCTTCGGAACACTGATACACTACATGATGTCCTGACCCTCACAATGAAATCTTCGCCATCGTGAAAACCTAAAATATGATTTCTGTTACGTCAGTTTGAATAAAGCCATTACAAAAACAGGTGAGAACTACTACAACTTATCTCATTCACACTCTCTGATTCATGAACATATTCGCCCTTTGAACCCCCCCCCCTTTGTTAATTCGATTCAGTTATATCCACTCTGCATTATACAGATTCCGAGCAGGAGTACACAATATGAAAGTTGTCGGAAAATCACATACTTCAGAGCCATTCTGCCCAAAATAAATTCATACGGAATAAACAGGAACTGAACTCCAATCTCTGCGGTGAGGCCCCGGGGACTAACATCATGAGTTCTAGTTTATCTGAAGTTACGGACAACTTGGGTTATTCACTGTGCTGCTGTCAAATCAATAATGTTTTGTATTTTCAGTCTAAGCGATCAATTTCCTGGTAATCGGTTAAACGAGAGCCGGAATAGCGCAGTCGGTGGTGCTGTTGACTACGGGCTAGACGACCGAGGGGCTGGAGTTCGAGTCCCAGTAGTGTCAATAATTCTCTCTGCTCCACGTAGTCCAGACCTGCTCTGGGGTTCACCCAATCTGCTATCCAATGAGTACAGGGGGCTCTTTTCCAGGAGGTAAAGCGGCCAGAGCGTGAAGCTGACCATTCACCTCTGCTAGTGCCGAGGACAAGAAAATGTGAATCTATATATCCACTCCCCCATATGCCTTCATTGCATAGTGTTTAATTAGGGACAACTTTACTTTGGCGGGTTATTTTTATGGAGGTTTGAATGTCTTCGTTGTAAATACGTTTTATATTATTTTCTCCAGTAGACTGAAATCTACGATGGGAGGAGACGATTTAAGTTCATATTAAAGTTTAAAACCTAGGGTTAGATTCTTATGATCTCGAATGAAATATTAGGGAGGTAAGGCACGAGTGTGAATGAGGTCTACAGCTAGGTATTACACGTACGTATATCCACCACTGTATCACTGAAATAGCTGCAATTTCACTAAGATTGTCCGGTTGACACCTTGCAGCATTACATAAAACAATAACCAGGGCAGCTCGCACAAGTTTCAGTACTTCTCAGACAACTATGTCTTCCAATTTCTATGGCACCGTCCTTTAACTTCAACAGTTAGTGAACAAAGTCCGAAAGATGGAGGAGAAATGACGTTGTGACATTCAGAAATACCAAAATGCAAAGAAATTTCCAAAACCTTATAAATGGAGAAGTACTTTTCAACTGATTTCAGTATTTCATGACTACGTGGTTCACACGTTCAGAAATATGCTTAGATATATTCAGCCACCAGCCGGATGACTCAGGTCAAATGGAAACATAATGGCTTGTTTGTAACTGCAGAAATATGCATGATCTTACGCTATGTTTTTCTTTTCGTGCTTGCAGCGTGGTTTTAAGGAAAACAACAAGAAAAGGCGATCTTCTTCTATGTGCAGGGCTACAATCTTGTGGCATTTCAGAGCAAATTCCTGCCTCCGTCATTAGCGTCAGTTAAATTCCTCAGACTACACGGGCCCACACTCCAGAAAAATCATCACCATGAGAACCTCAAATGTCGCATATTTTGTCTTCTTTCGGTCTTGCTGTTATGCGTGTATTTTAGGTAAAAAACTTCAGTACATATTATAGTGGTGTTGCCTGAATAAATTTCTAATAAATACAGTTTTATTAAGCCTACACCTCAGACAGTCTACTGTGGCTCGTCTTTGCTGAAATGTTGTGTATTTTGTGCAAACTTTCCAAAATATTTCCACAGAAAATACTTTAATGGACATTTATTTTGGGGATACCTTTTACAGAAGTATGGTATGGTCTCTCTTTTAGAATGATTTATTTTAATGTAATTCGTGTCGTTTTGTACACTGTGTAAGAATACGAATACTTGGCTCTTTCAATTTGTCCTCAATAGGCTAAAAAACAATTACTTTTACAGGTTTTTGCTTAAGTTAAGTAACTTTTGTATGAGATTTAACTTAAAATATACTGTGCTTGCGGTCAATTTATTATTTAAGGTCTCCGCTTTCTAAAATATATATGGATCATATTTATATGGTGAGGTAACTGAATTGTTGAAAGGAATTATACCAATAGTTGGAGGTGTGCTATTGAAAACCGAAATAAAGTATTTTATTTTAATATATTTGAAATGTATGCTTTTCTTATTATTTTGGAAATGGTAAACCTGCCATAAAATATTTCAGATTTAATAATGACATTTTTATTTATGTCCTCTTTCAGAAGATAAGTTAGGGAGTATTTCCAAATCTACTAGAAGTAAGAAGTATACGTGCGGAATATTTATGTTATTAAAATTTGTCCTGTGACTAAAAGATAGTCTCGTTAAATTGTATATATGCATATTCGTGTTTCTGGATGAGAAAATATAATAATAAAAACCACTAGCCAAAGGAAATATATGAAGAGCTGTGAGAGAACCAGTTCGCTCTGAATTCAGTTCCGTTTACGGATACATATCCAGGTTCAAAACACTAAATTTTAATAAATGAAAAATATTGTTACCCCTAACAAGAATGGCTTCTCATTTAACTATTCACTCCAGCGTTATTAATGAGATTCTGTTTAACACAATCTAAATAATTATAAAATAAGGTCTTCCTTGAAATGAAATGCCCATGGGAAGCAGTAAAATTTACAATGTTATCTTGATCTCTTTACTATGAAGCTCCGATCCCCCTTCCCAGCTCCCTTAAAGCTTCTAAAGCTTCCAGCAAAACGCTACTAATGAAATCGCTCTGCATACACACACACACACACACACACACGTGGCTCCAGTGGTTGCCGCTAACCGAAACACTGAGAGCCAGTCGGAGGAAGTAAAATTACCGAATGGTGTCTGCACAAAAAACACATAAATAAATCAGTTCCACAACGCTCATACATCAGATTTCAAGAACTTGTGTAGCACTGAAATTTCATAGAAGTACAGAAGATATTCGTACTTAGGGCTGCAAACATATAGAACTCGTTATGAATGCATACAGGTAAAATGTTTAATTTAAATAAACGTGCGAATCAGAGTTTTAAGAATTATGTGTACATGAATATTGTAGGTCTACACGCATAGCGGCTATTGGGCTATTGCAGTTAAACGTATGCATAAATGGCATGTTCATAGCTTATATGCACTTAATATGTTTAATTGAATAGTCTCTGCGAATTAAAATGAACCTAATTTCCTGTAAACAAATGCACTCAAATCACTTGCATAAATCAATTTTTTAAATGTTGTAATGCGTTTATTTTTAAATTAATGGAATTATTAGCATTTGGTTTATGAATTATGCAATTCTGAATACATTTCCAATAGCGATAAAGGTTATATCAATTAATTTTACATTTCTCTTTATCGATAAATTACTTCTCCAAACATTTTAATTTCATAAGTTTCAATTTTGGCTTTGTTGGTATCAGGACTAATGGAGGGGGGGAGAGTGCTACTACAAGGAAGATTCAAACCGCATTTCATTCCATCACTTTGCATCAGAACCACCAACCTGAGCGTTGTGGACGTGTGCCGTAAAGAATCGGTCGTCACTGCTGTACGTGGCCAGCCCAACAGTCAGCAAGTGGTAGTCCTTCCTTCTGATCCATGACACCTGCAAACAGTACAGTGCCAACATCAGTTGTTTTTATATTTTTCGGGATATTTTTTAAAATACGTTGTGTGTTTCCGACTAAAGGCCCTGGATAAACAAGTACTTACTTACTTACTTACTTACTTATGGCACTTAGCCCTACTTGAGGAGAAGACAAAGCTGCAGCTACTCAAGACTTTCCCAGAATTTTATGGAATCCGAAGGTTCATTACCGTGTTCACAAGAGCCCTCCACTGGTCCCTACCCTGAGCCAGATCAATCCAATCCATAACACCCCATTCTATTTCTCGAAGATCTATTTTAATATTGTCCACCCACCTACGCCTTGGTCTTCTCAGTAGTCTCTTTCATTCTGGCTTTCCCACTAATATCCTATATGCATTCCTCACCTCCCCCATTCGGGCTACATGCCCTGCCTACCTCATCTTCCTTGACTTGATCATTCTAATTATACTTGGAGAAGAGTACAAATTATGAAGCTCCTCATTATGAGGTTTCCTCCAACCTCCTGTCACTTCATCCCTCTTCGGTCCATATATTCTCCTCAACACCNTCCCAGAAGACTGATTTCTTCATAGTCACCGCCGTGAAAGCCTCAAATCTTACAGGTTTTGATTTGTTATAGTCGTTCCCAAATATCTGAACTTTTGCCACATTTTCAGAACTTCTGTTTCCTATCTTTATGTCATGATTTTGCCCTGCATTTTGGTGACGAGACAGCAACATATACTTAGTTTTCTCTGTATTTACTTCTAGACCAACCTCCTTAGTTGAGTCAATTAAAGTTTGTGTGTTTTTCTTTATGATATCTACATTGTCACCCAGTAGATTCACATCATCGGCATAGATCAACAGCTGATGTGTCCCGTTTAATTTCAGTCACACCTGGTTTCCCCGGACCTTCTTAAGGCATATTTTAAAGCAAACTTGAAAAGGAGTGGCGATAAAGCATCTCCTTGTTTTAGACCATTCTGATAGGAAATTTATCAGAAAAATGTTTACCTATACGGAGTATACTATACGTTTCTTTTATACACATTTTAATCAACATAACTAGTTTCGTTGGTGTTCCAAACTCTATCAGAATATAGTACAATACTTCCCTCCTAACTGAATCATAGGCTTTCTTGAAGTCTACAAATAACTGATGTACTATCCCATTGTACTCCCATTTTTTTCTCCAATTTCTGACGAATGCAAAAGATCTTATCTGTAGTTGATCTGTTACGTCAAAACCTATACTGATGATCCCCAATAATTTGTCTATGTATAGCCTTAACCTTGAGTGAAGAATATTGGATAAAATTTTGTATGAAGTTAATAGCAGTGATATCCCCCGATAATTACCACGGTCAGTTTTATCACCCTCCTTGTGAACTGGTACAATAATAGACTCCTTCCACTGACCAGGCAATTTTTCCTTATGCCAAATAGAAGAAATTACCTTATGGCTCTTAGAACGTAATATTTCGTCTCCTGTTTTAATAAGTTCTGCCAGAATTTGATCAATAACTGGTGATTTATACTGTTTAAATTTTGCAATAGCACTTTCAATCTCAAAAGGGCTAGGACCAGGCATTAACGGCTCAGGTGTATGCATTTCTATCTGCCTAACATCATTAATCCTATATACATTCCATACTTCAGAGAAGTAGTTCTTCCACCTATTCAAAATATTGTGGGAATCTGCAAGCAGATCACCATTCTCATCCTTCACTAAGTTACTTCTAGGTTGGTAACTCCTCTTAAAGTCATTTATCCCTCTATACCGTCCATATTCCTGTTCTTACTGTTCATTGCAAGTTCATCAATATTCTCTTTCAGATAGGATAAACAAGTAACCACAGAAAATGGCCGCGCCATAACTCAAGCGGTTAGTCGCTGGCTTCCCACCGCGGCGACCCGGGTTCGATCCCGCGTCTGGTCAAATGTGATTTGTGGCGGACGAAGTGGCGCTGGGGCAGGTTTCCTCCGAGTATTTCGGTTCCCCTGCCAATCTTCATTCCACCAATTTCTCCACAATCATCCCCACCTATCATCTGGGGCTGGTACAATAGGCCAGAAATTACGGCAGTACAAGGGACTTAGTCCCACCCCACTAGCAGTAAAAAAAAAAACAGAAAATAAATGTTCTCCCCCGAAATATAAAAATTTTGGAACGGTCAGAGTTATGAATTTTGATACCTTACGTATTTAATTTGAAATAAATTAACACAACGATAACTTGAGTGAAATTTGTACAACGAACTCCATGAAGCAGACTACTTTCTACTTCCACATGTGCGTAGTGTATATCAGAAATTGTTGCGATGGCGGAAAATCGACGTACTCTAGAAGTTTTGATGTATACATATGTTTTGCCTTCTTCCCGAAAATGAATAGGTGGTTTTTGATATGCTGTTTGTGTTTGTGTGTGTGTGTGTGTATGTATAACGCTGCTGCCCTGTAAGGATTCATGTACATATAATTGTGCGCCTCACTGTCCTCTAAATTTTGGATGAATTTTATTCATATTCATTTATAAGTTGTAGGTGGTTGCCCCATGAATATGAACATTGCATCTCCAAAAACAGGGTTCCTTCATATGGACTCCGAAATATACAATCGTGATTTTCTTGAAAACTGTAAAAACTATTTTGATTAAATGCCAATAGTTTTGCGGAGGTCATCTTTCTAAATACAATCGCGTATGTGGCATCCTAAAGAGAGAAATCCTACTCGCTCTAGAGGCCCAAATGCAAAATTTTGAAATACTGAAACCACTGTACGGGGAACACAAATTTAAGCGTTGTTGGTCTATTTAGAAGACCACAGGTAGTTGACTGAGCAACTATCGATTTCGTTTCCAAGGCAACGTAGTCAAGGTCAGTCGCCTATGAGAAAGGCTGTGTAATGTGTTTGCACTGAGTTCTGATGTGGTAATACTGGTTTAACTGGTCAAAAATTATCCTCGTTTATGTAACCAGAAGACTTACCATCGTGTTCACAATGGTGCATTACCGGTTCCTACATATGTACATACTGTGTTGCTGGTACAGTTATCCGGAGATATGAAGTAGCTCTCTCGATTGTGACCAGATGAGTCCGTTTTTACTTCAATACGTAGCTTGAATCCAATCTCCGAAATGCCTTATCTGGGCACGCGGTAGAGCAGTTGGTTGAGCATTATGCTACAAGCCCGAAGGTCGTGGGTTCAAGTCCCGATGAGTTCATTGAATTTTTCAATTGACCTAATCCTTCCAGCCGCAATATGGCCCTGGTGTCGACTCAGCCTCTAACAGAAATGAGTACCAGGAATATTCTTGGGGGAAAGGGCGGCCGGCGCGTAGGGCTGACTACCTTGCCGCCATCTATGAGCCGATTGTCTAGAAAATGTGGGAACCTCAACATCTCACAACACTATGGACCTCCACGGCCTGTTACAGGGATACCTTCACTTTTTTTTTTTAATCTACGCCTGATAGCCTAGGCCACCCGTGAAGTTCCCTTAGAGCAGAATCGTCGTACATGTCCCGTTCTTATGAACTATCCTTAATCAGCAAAATATTATAATGCCGTCTTCTGGGGTGTGGCGCCGTGTAGATCTTGTGTGAACCGACGTTTCGGAGGTAACTATCGCCTCCAGCTTCAGGGTAGAAACTGATGCTACTTGCTCACGCTGATTCCTCGCTCCAGGATTTTTCTAACCTGAAAATGGAGGCGATACGTTCCTCCGAAACGTCGGTTCACACAACATCTACATAACACCACATCCCAGAAGACGGTATTTTCCATAGTGAAAACCTCAAATCTTACACAACATAATATTATATGGTGCATGAACCGTCTTGCCTCTCTAGAACGCTGGGACCGAGGGTTCGAATCCCACACGAGGCATGAATGTCTGTGTGCGTTTATTCTCTGTTTATGTTGTCATGTGCAGGTAGCAGCTAATCGCCCTTCCAAGTGGTCCTACCGGCTGTGTATAGGATGAAGGAACTGAAAAAGCGGCTAAGGCTCAAATTGCTGTGGTGGCACAGAGGAGGAGGAGGAGGAGGAGGAGGAGGAGGGGGGGCAATTCCAGTTGCTCAAGAGCAGAAATTGTGAAAATCCTCCATTCTCCCGTTTCTTCTCCTCTGTGGAGTCCAAATATTCTTCTCGGCCCTCCGTTCTTAAGTAACCTCAGTTTATGCACTTCCGTTAGGAGACTTAAGTTTCAGATCCAAATAAATCCATATGCATAATTATAGAGTTTCGAAAAGAGGAAAGAGAGTAACAAATTCTGAACTGAATCGGAAGAACCATTTTATAAACTGAATCTACTTTTAATTCATCTGAACGCATGGAACCATACTGTGTATACATGAAAAGAAGATTAAGACCAAGAATAAACTGAAATTTGGAATCTGAATCCTGTCTGGCGGTAACGTGCCTAATGTTTAGAGACAGTAAAAATATACAGAGATACAATGTAGTTTGTCGAAGGGACAGGTGAGTGTACTCGTATTATGCAGTGTTGGTCATATAATTAACATGTCATAACGTGTCGAATTGTTCCATTGGCTGTCTACACAACACTCACAGGGAACAGTCAATTGCTTAATTTTCTAAAATCAATCACATATATCGATCAATTATTGATCATAGTCAAGTTAAGGAATGGCATGTACTGTCTTCGCTCGTTTGGAAACCGGGATCGTGGGTTCGAATCCCATTCAGGGCATGGATGTTTAGTTTGTGTGTGTGTGTCTTTTTCTGTGTTCGTGTACAGGTAGAGGCCTTTCGACCAGTTGATCACCCGCCCAAGGAGTCCTACCGAATATGTAAGATCTAGAAAAACCGAAGTGAACGAGATGTTCATGGAGGTAGGCCTAGGCCCACTGGGGCTGTAGTGCCAAAAATGAAAAAGCTAAGGAATTGTGCTCGGCTCGGCTTACTTCCTTGCGGTTGCATAATAGCAGTATGTAGTTCATTATCAAGTTTCTATTTACAAACGTACACCTAGCGATGAATAACTGAGC